TAGAAAATAAAAAGAAGAGTTTGTTTTAATACTAACTCAGAAACTCAGACTTTCTCATGGACAATATAGACATTTTTTCTGCTGAGCCAGATTTTAGAGGTACCTTCGACTTATATGCCAATGAAACTTTGTGACTATCAACAACCACCATTTCTTCTATAACCCAGTGCTAAGCTTTTGATGAAAAGATCAGTTCTCAGTCAGTAGCTAGCTTTTACCTCATAAGATCTGTTGGGGATCAAATTGTATCCCTTTAAAAGACAAGCGCAAGTTCTAAGCTCTGGACTGGATATTTGGATCTTAGTGGATCTTGGTTGTGAATGTAATCAAGGAAAGATGAGGTCAAATCGTCTCTGGATGCAATGACAGGAAGTGGAATATCACACACACACACACACACACACACACACACACACACACACACACACCCACAAGAAAGTTGTGTGGTGGCAGAGACAGATTGGACTGATGCATCTTCAATCCAAGAGTGTTGAGGACTAAGGATTAATGGCACCCTATCCTTGCCCTCATAGTTAGGGAAAGGCAAGAAAGGATCTTTCCTAGAGTCTTCAGAGGGAGCTTAGTTCTAACTTGTTGTTAATTTCCTACTGTTAAAATTTTGAGAGACTATATTTTTGTTGTCATTTTATGCTACCTAGTTTGTGATACTCTGTTATGGCAGCCCTAGGAAACAAATACAGGGTTTCTTGATGTTGGACTGTTGCCATCTTCATTGTCTGTGGACTTTAAGGATCCTTCTTTTATTCATCAGCTCTTGACTGAGTCATTGTTCTCATTGTTTAAAAATATTAAGCTTTCAAGTAATTTCAGCTGTAGCATCGTGAGCTATTTCGTCTGCCATATTGCTGGTAACAGAAGGACAGTGACAACAGTGAAAACTTCTTCCCAGAATCTAGTGTGCAAGGCAAGAAGTAAGTGTCTTCATCCTAGTTCAGGCTCCCAGGAGCTTGTTTGATGTACTGTTCTCACCTCTTATTTGTCTCTCATGTTTTCTTTAGCTGTATAAATGTTACTTTTCTACACAGCAGTCACCGTGGTCTCTAAATATAAATTGGAGCCATGATTCCTGTGTTGAAAACCTTTCAACAGCTTCTTTTCACAGTTAGAATGAGGTTTGAGCTGAAACTATGTCTTTAAGGCCCTGTGTAAATGGACTACCTGCTACCCTCCTTATTCTATTGTTTCCTGCTCCAGCCACGCTGATTTGAGCCCATGTCTCAAACATTTCAAGCCTGTTCTTGCCTTGTATTTCTTGACCTTGCTGTTTGCTCTGGTTCATTGTCTGCCTATCCTGATATTTACTTTGATGTTTCCTCCTCAGAGAGATGATTTTGGTCATCTTGTCTAAACTAACTACCTTTCCTCTCATCATCTTCTAGTGATTGTTTATTTATTTACTTTTTTTTTTTTGCAAAAACATATCGCTATTATACTGCCTAGGAATTGTCTTAGTTTTTATTCGTTTTATTTTTCCTGTTCCAGGGTTGCATCCAGGATACCACACTACATTTTGTTGTCATGTCTCCTCTTGACTTGTCTCAGGATTTTCTTGTTTTTATGACCTTGGTAGTTTGAAGAGTACTGGTCAGGTAGAATGGGCATCTATTGGGATTTTACATACTTTTTATTATTAGGCACCTGTTATTGGTTTTGAGATGGCAGGTCACACAGGAGAAGTTCTGTTTTCATCTCATACAAAGGGCACAACTAGAAATGTGACTTATCATCATTCATGTGAACTTAAATCATGAGACTGGAGAAGGGTTCATCAGGTTTCTCTGCTGTTTTTCCCCACTTTCCAATGTCTTTTCCACACTAACTAACTGGGAAGCTAGTCAGTATGTGAAATCCACAGGTAAGGAGCAGAAAGTTATGTTCCATTTCCCTGAGAGCAGACTACAGAAATATCTATATAAATTCTTTGGAATTATTTTCCACTTGTTTATTTATTCATTCAATCATTGATTTATATTAGTTTGAACTCATGAATATTTATTTTATATTTTAGGTTATAGCCCAGTTCTGCTCTGTTTTATTACTGAAAATTTTCCAGCTTTGGCCACTGAGAGCCATTTCAGTGAATCCCATTTCCCTTTGTATATCCCATCAATGTGTGTGTGTGTGTGTGTGTGTCCCACAACCTCTTACTATTTTTAAACCATAAGGTGTCCTATAATAATCTTGTATGTTTCCTGCTTTAATCCTAGAAATAGTCATTATGTAGATATTTCACTAAGGAGCCCTGTTCTCTTTGTGCTTGGTGCTACTGGGTGTTCTTGCTCTCTCTTAGCACACAGAACAATGATACATGTGTGTTTTACAACTCCTGTATATACCCTATCTATAAGTATTTTTCTATATTATCTTATATATATATTAAGGTATCATGAATACTGTCGTGTTCAACTCTAATCCAGTCACATGAAGCAGTCAGGCCTCTCTCTCTCTCTCTCTCTCTCTCTCTCTCTCTCTCTCACTCTTGCTCTCCTCCCTCCCTCCCTTCCTTCCTTTCTCTTTGGTGTTTTTGAAACAGGATCTTGCTCTGTCATTCAGGCTGCCTTAGACTCATTATGTAGTCCAGGCTGGCCTCCAACTCGTGGTGATCCTCCTGCCCAGCCTCCTGAGTGCTTAGATGACAGGCATGCACCACCATACCCAGCTTCTCTTGCTTATTTCTAAACTCCACACTCTAGCAGTGAGAGCTGGATCCTAATATGCTCTTATTTAATTGTTTAGTTGCAACATGCATGCATAGCAGTGTCAAAATTGGTGATCAATACTCCTGTGGGAAAGAAATTTATTAACTTTGGTACAATGCTTCAACCTTTGTGCCATTAGTCTTATAGTCTCCACTCATTTACAAAAAATATTGATGTCAGCAACTCCCTCAGAGAGGCTGTATCATCCACTTAAAATACAGTTAGACTGTCTTGTCATCTTCTGTCTTCCACCTTGTGCATCCGAAGCTCCTAAGTAATTTTTTTGAATTTGTGCACACTCATATTTGTTCTTTGTGCTACAGAGTTCTGTGGGATTTCACAAATGCAGTATCGTAGTGTCTGTCCATCATTACAATGTCATATGCTTTAAGAATTCATCTGTTTTAACCTCTTCTCTTCCTTACATTTTCTCATTGCTGAGGCAACACCTCTCCTCTTATACTTTCCAGAGATTAAGAAAATGAATCAAGCTGATATAAATATTAATACAAATATTTATAAGCTTCCAAAGCAGCTGGGCAAAGAGCTACAAGTGTGACTGCCACATAGCATAGTTAGATTATGCTTAATAAGAAACTGACAAAGTCTTCTCTAAAGAGGCTGTACCATTTTTCATTCCTACCATCAGGGAATAAAAGGTCTTCCTGCATTACATCCTTGGAAGTATTGTCATTAAAAACTTATGCATTAATATGTATGCAGATGTATGCATGGTTCTTGAGTTGATGTTCAATATATTTCTTGCCTATGTTCCTCTATAGGTAAATCATTTTCCTCCACTTTCACTTCTTTTAAAATTATCTCTTTGTCTTTGGTTTTCTGCAATTTGAATATGGATGTCTAGGAATAGTGTTTTTTTTTTAACCTTTAATTGCTGTTTTGGTGTTTATATTAAGAAATATTCCTTGATTTTTCTGAATCGGCAGTTCGTTGCCTGTCATTAATTTTGGAAAACTCTCAACCATTAATACTTTACAAATTTCTTTTGCTTTCTTCCTTTTTGTCTTTTTGATATTCCAATCATTAATTTATTACACCTTTGGAAATTATCCCACAGTTCTTGGATGTTCTGCTTTCTTCCTTTTTTGACTCTTGTTTAATGTTTATTTCAGTTCACTTCAAGCTCACAGTTGTGTTGGTTGGTCTTTCTTAGTCTGGTGATGAGCCATGAAGAATATTTATCATTTCTGTCACAATAAAAATTCTAATTTTTAATTTTTTGTTTAGTTCTTCCATCACTCTGCTTATATTATCTATTTTTTTTATCTTGCTCTTCTGAAATTTTTAGTGTACAGTGTAGTATTTTTGCACAGTAGAGTACTACTCTGTTATAAAGAATAAACTTAAGATCCCAACAATGAATGTAACTGTACTGTATCCCTAAAATGTATCAATAAACTCAATTAAAGCTGAAAAAAAAGAATAAACTTAAGTTATTTGTAGGAAAATGGATGCACTTTAAGACCATGATATTAAGTGATATAAATCAGACACACAGGCTTGAATATTGCATAGTTTCTCTTACATTAAAATCCAAATTATAAATAAAGAGGAAAATAAAAAAAATAGATACTAGGATGTAGAGCAGTAGATCTTTCTCAGTGGGAAGGGGATCAAGAAACAAAGAGAGTAGGAGAAAAGGGAGGAAGAATGTCTAAAAAAAGAATTAAGATGTGTTATGTTCATGTCCTCACAAAGAATGTAGGAGCCAGCCTAGGAGCTTGAACCTGCCCAAAGGGTGACAAGAATGAAAAACAGACACAGAATCAGGTGGTTGGAGGGCCAGGTGGCTCTTGTGTCCTGTTGCCCCAAGTGATGGGGGCACCTCGGCTGTATTCACTCAGACACGGGCACAAGCAATCAGAGTTCCTTAGGATTCATCTGTCTCCCTCTCTCCATGGTACTTGTTTGGGTACACACCAAGGTCTCAGGCGATTTACTTTTGTGTGAAGTGTGTCAGCACACTTGCACACCCTTTTTCTTCTTTGTGCTCACAGAGGGGGCCCATTAGGTCTCATTCTTCACATCTGGTCTCCCACAATTATATACTGAAAACATTCACTAATAAAAAAAGATGTATGGTGCTAAATAAACATTTGTTGTTCCATGTTATTTACTTTCGACATTACAAGCCCTTAGCGTGTTAATCATAGTTATTTTAAATTCCCTACTTGATAATTCCAAAGCCTGTGTTATGTTTCAGTCTGGTTCTGATTCTTGCTTTGTCTCTTTAGACTGTGTTTTTTCCTTATCTTTCAGCATGTTGCTTAATACTTTCCTGAAGATGGAATGATGCCTACACAAAGTGGTACCTAGGTGAGCAGAACTTTAGTGTGAGGTTTTATGCGAATATGTCTGGGAATTTGGCTATTTAATATTTGCTGGGACCACAGATGCCAGAAGCTTCCATTCTTTTTATTATCCTTGGTTTTGATTTGGGGTTTCCCTGAATACTTTTTTTTTAAGAGAAAATCTGAGCTTTGTAGCTACTTCTCTTGTAATCTATGGCCATTGAAATGGGGCCCTGTTGATGGTGTTGTAAAATATAGGACAGGGAATATTCTTGGGATTAATTCTTGTGATTAAATTTCTGTCTTTGGTGGGCCTTTTCTGAGCCTTTGGTAATACTTTTTTTTTAAACAGTTTTACGAACTGAAAGTGGGGGGACTTCTTCATCTGAGAAGTGTCTGTTCATTTCAGATGCCCATTTTTTAACTGAGTCTTTAGTTTTGGGGGGGCCTAAATTTTTGAGTTCTTTATTTATTCAAGATATTAGCCCTTTATCTGAGGAGTAGCCGGCAAAGCTTTTTTCCCCATTCTGCATGTTGTGGCATCACTCTGTTGGTTGTTTCCTTTGCTGTGCATGAAGCTACACAATTATTACTGGAATCTGTTTTTCAATCTTTTCCCCATGGTTCTTAATAAAGGGCAAAAAGAGAAAATTTAGGCACTATTCAGGGTTTGCTTTGTTTGATGTTAACTCCTGTCTGTTGGTTGGGAACCTTTGGTACAGTGGAGAGATTAAGGAAGCACTATGTGCTGGTGTTGATATTGCCTTAGATTATATTAATTGATAGGCTCTATCAGCTGAATCCCTCCCAAGCCACGTGTTACTCTATGCCGGGGTAAAACTCTAGCTTTTAAGTTCCAATAAGATGATCAACCATCCCGGTTTGAAGTTGTCTCAGACTTTTCTGGAGGTAAGATCTTCAGTGCTCAACCTGTAAAAGGCCAGGCAAAGTAGGAAGTATCAGTCATTACAGGAAATTAAAAACTCTGCTTGAAAAACAGGGTGAAAAAGATAATATCGATGAAGAACTTTTTCCTTTGCATTTATGATCTGTATGCAGCCTGCCGAGAGCATACCTGTATATGTAAGGTGACAAATTACAGAAAGATCAGTTTGCTGGCACACAGTTTATACATTACTTCATTACTCATATCAGTCATTGGAGATTTCTCTCTCTCTGATTAAACTAAACAGTCAACAGTCAGAAGCTCCTTTTTCCATGGGAACTGCATGAGCACTGAGCCTGTCTGCCTACTGGCAACCAGTGCTTGGGTGGGAGTGCGTTGGCAGCTCTGAGTAACTCTTTCTCCACTTTGGATTTTAGCATCAGAATCCTGAGTAGGAGGGAACAGGGTGATGCCGGAGGGAATAGGATCTCAGCACAGCCAGACTTGGAAGCAGCTCATCCTGTCTCTACTGTCACTTCCATTGCGAGTGGATTGGGTTTTCCCTAACTAGTAACAGATGGAGCTCCCTGAAGCGTTCTAGTCCTAAAGTCCAAGTAATCACCAAAAAGCAGATATTCTTGGGACCTAGAAGGGCAATGCCTGGGAACAGTGTTTTGGGCAGGTCTGAGCATCCTCAACCCTGAAATCAGGCACAGGGTTGGGTAGGCAGTTCACCCTTTGAAAGGATTAAAGTCCTAGACAGGGATGGCTGTGAATGCTTGGTGTTGGGAGACTAAGGCAGGAGGATTTCAAATGAAAACCCAGCTTGGGCAACTTAATGACTTAGATCTTGTCTCACAATTAAAGAAAAGAGGAACCTAGGGATGTAGCTCAGTGTGAGGGAGTAAGGTTTTGGTCCTGAGTCGCACATTGCTTGGGACCTTCTGCACAGAGACCGACACTACCTGTCACTTACAGGCTGCAGCTTGAAACTCAGCAGCTCTTTTGTTCCTTAAGGTAATTCACAGATGACTCACCTCAAGTCTGGTTGGAGACGAGTGTGTAACTCAGACAGTGTATTGTATCTGGCCTCCTGAAACTGCCGTTTTCTTTGGAACTTCTCTCCTCCTCTCCTGGTCAGAGGGTTAAGATTTTATCCCACTAAACCATTGGTGGGTATCCTGCTTGGGGAAGAGAGCCCACAGAAACAGGAAATGATATCCTGACATTTGCTGAAGGCCAGCGAGTGGGGCATCAATCCAAGACTTAAAGGAGAGTCAGACCCAGGGGAAGAGGGCAGAAAGGGAGCCAGAGAATCAGGGGAGTGGTGGATGTAGGACCAGGGGAGCTGCTGAATGAGTGATAACTGGAAGGAATTATAGGGGAGTTGGTAGGCAGACATCCATTGCAGCTTTATTCTGGGACGGCTCAGACTCATGGGTCCTGGTCAGTTTAATTAGAGGGGATGTAATGAAATGATCAGTGACCTGACAGAAGAGCTGTGCCTGTTGCCACATATCATACATCCCTAACAGCATGCGCTGAAGAAATAGCAACATCTACCTAACAATTATACAATCAGGATTCATGTGTTTAGTTCATAACTGGCCAGTACTCTGATTCCTGTCTCTTCTCGATAGAGTTTGTTATTGGCCTTTGTCTACGTTGATTTCAACTGTTTAGGGTGTTAACTATTTAGATGAAAATTTCCTCTAAGGTTGGATCCTGAGAAATTATTTAATAATCCTACAGGTAACTCGCAGAAAGAAAAACATTCTGAGATAATTGCTGTGTTAGAGAAAGATGGACACTGCCTCAGGCCAAAAAAGCAATATTTTATGCTTTTACTATTTGATGCTAAAAATAACTAGGTAAAGTATTTCCTCTGCATTATGGCCACTATGGAGGGTGTTTGTTGATGGGAAAACTCTTTTACTAAAATATCGCATGCCTAGCCACAATCTCAACTAAGCAGGAAATATCACAAAGGTTTGTCTCTGTAATGTACGTTTGTTGTGGGAGAAACTCTGGCTGTAGGTTCTTCCCAGGGAGCCACCATTTCAGAGAGCAACACCTCTGACACTTGGCGGGGAATATTCTGCTTCTACAGTCCCTGTTATTTTGAGAAAATGCCTCTGGGAGTCTCTGCTGCACCAGGAGAAGAAATTTCTAGTTTGACACCTTCATTTATTGTTCAGAACTTCTCTGAAAAGTACAAAGCCCTGGTTTTCCATGTCTGACTCCTTCAGAAACGAACTACTTAAAAAAAAATTAGCTGTAGTTAATGTATTTTAGCCCTTGAAGGACCAGCACAAATTTGATTCTTTTGTAGGAAGGTATGTACATCTTTATAACTGACTTGGGAATGTGGCAACATAGTGTGTGCGTGTGGAAATTTTTTGCTTGATGACGTAGGGATGTGATCACATTCTGACCATCTGGGAACAGTATTGATAGCTCACTATCTTGCTTTCCTTACTATTTTTTGAACATATCTTGGCACTGTACCAGAGCATAACCAAGGTGTTATTGAAAAATACAGTGAATCTAAATTTTAAAAAGTTCAGTACAAGACATATTGCCATTGATATCCCTGAAAGTCTCCCCATTGCTTTTTTTTTGAGACAGGGTCTCACTATGTAGTTGAGACTGACCTGGAACTCACTATGTAGCCCAGGCTGGTCTCGAACTCAGTGATCTTCTACAGGGTCTCACTATGTAGTTGAGACTGACCTGGAACTCACTATGTAGCCCAGGCTGGTCTCGAACTCAAAGTGATCTTCCTGCCTCAGCCTCCCAAGTGCTGGGATTACAGGCATGCGCCACCATGCCCGGCTCCCCATTGCTTTTGAAAGGATAAGTCCTTTCATTGTTGTTGCTTTCTGAAGCAGATCTGGGAGTCCTCTTCCACAAGTGTCTTTAGTTGCACTACCATGGCGGCTTCAATTTTCTGAATCAATTTAAAACATTTACATGTATGGTCATTTGGACTTTGAGGAAGAGCCTGAAGTCACGTGGTGCGAGGTCCAGGGAATAAGATGGGTGAGGACACAGCATCATGGTTTTACAAGCCTGCATGCAGAAGCAGTGTTCACTGTTGTTTTTGATCACATCGCATAGAGATGCTCACAAAAGACACTCAGAACGGCTTCAGAAAGTGGCAAGAATAATGCGAGATAAGTTGTTTGAAGCAAGGGGGAGTCTTTTGAGAGGGCTGCTGGCAACATGTCTTTTGCTGCAATAATGTTTTATGAAAAAAAATTAAATTTCATAACAACATAACAGAATAACAACAGAGGATGGGATTTAGCTTAGTGGTTCCATCGCCTGCCTCACAAGTGCAAGGACCCAAGTTCTATCCCTGGTAACAAAAAAGAAAAAAAAAAGAGAATAACAATAGTTCATACACTATGTATCGTTATCTTCAAGTAGTGATTCAGGGGACAAGATATAAATAGAAAAGATTCTTACAATAAAGAGTGTGCATATTTACTAAATATTTTGATGAAGCTTGGTGTAGTATTTACAGGAGACTGGTACCAGGATCCCCGAGGATGCCAAAACCCAGAAATACTTAGGTCCCTTCTATAAAATGGTGTAGTGTTTGTAAATAAACTTTGACCATCTCATAAACTTTAAACCATCTCTAGATGTCCCACAATACCTAAAACAATGTAAACGCTATATAAATAGTATTTATGTTATTTACAGAAAAGCCTGCACATATTTAGTTCTGACACATTTTCCCCAACGTTTTTGAACCACAGTTATTTGAGTCCTCGAATGTGGCAGTGTGGCTTTGGAGTGCCGATTGTTGCCATGTACTTTACCTGAAAAGGACTCTCGCTATTTGTTCTTTTGCATTTTTCAGGTCTCTGCTCAAACTATATTTTATCAGAATTTCTATTTGTCCTGTGTAAAATAGTCCCTTCAGTCTCAGTCCTTATATTGTGCTTTAATTTTCGTTACCCACCTTTTACTGTTGATGTATTGCACGCTTATTTTTTATTTATAAAGTTCACATTTCTTGCTGGTAATAAGGATGTGAACTTTCAGAGGTTGTAAGCTTTGCTTAGTCCACTCCTCTCTTCCCTGAGAGATTTCTATGACTTAGAAAATCTTACATAGCAAATCCTAAA